TAAAGTTGCTCCCACTGACAAAAATCAGGTCCTTGAAGACAGCCTTAGGCCACTGAATCCAGGCTTCTCTGAAGCTCACTCTGTCTTAAGACCATTATTGTATAAGACAATAAATTATCCTTGTTATTTTTGTTGCTTCAACTCTTGTCACTTGCTACATAAAGAGCCATATCTGATAGTATAGCTGATAGGCCTGCGAGGGGTAAAAGGGAGACAAGAGTAAAGTCAGTTCCAGAGGGAAAGGGAGAAGCTTCGAGCAGACCACTGGCCTTGTGGTGTACTAGTCAGGTCTCCAGGTGCAAGTGACAGAAACACTTCTGGAATGAGCTTAAACTAAAAAGGGAAAAATTAATGACTTGGGGTTATTTACTTAACAAACTTTTATTGAACAGTGCAGGGCCCTGTTCTGGGCACTGAGAACAAAACAGACAAAAAGTCTTACCTTCATGAAACGTACAGAAGCAAATCAACAAAATGCATAATTTTTTAAATGGTGGTAAGAGAAATGGAGAAAAGGCAGGGAAAGAAGATTGGTAATTGCTGGGGAAAGTACTGCAAGTTTAAATAGGTGGTCAGAGTAGGCCTCATTGAAAAGCCAATATTTGGCCGGGCTCGGTGGCTCAACCTGTAATCCTGCGCTTTGGGAGCCCGAGGTGAGTGGACTGCCTGAGCCCGCGAGTTCAAGACCCGCCTGGGCAACTTGGCAAGACCTCATCTCTATAATAAAACAAAAATCAGCCGGGCGTGATAGCGCGTGCCTGTAATTCCAGCTACTCGGAAGGCTGAGGTGGAAGGATCACCAGAGCCCAGCGGGTCGAGGCTGTGGTGGCCGGGAGCGGCCACTGCACTCCAGTCTGGGCAACAGAGTGAAACTCCAACTCAAAAAAAAAAGAAAAAAAAGAAAAGGCAATATTTAGGCTGGGCGCGGTGGCTCATGCCTATAACCCCAGCACTTTGGGAGGCTGAGGCTAGATGATTGCCTGAGCCCTCGGGTTCAAGACCAACCTGGGCAACTTGGTGAGACTTCGTCTCTACAATAAATTAAAAAATTAGCTGGGCATAGTGGTGCATGCCTGCAGTTCCCACTACTTGGAAGGCTGAGGTGGAAGGATGGCCTGAGCCCAGCAGATTGAGTCTACGGTAGCCGAGAGTGTGTCATTGCCCTCCAGCCTGGGTGTCAGAGTGAGACTCCAACTTAAAAAAAAAAAAAGGTAACATTTAGGCCAGGCACAGTGGCCCTATAATCCCAGCACTTTGGAGGCCAAGGTGAGGATTGCCTGAGCCCACAGGTTCGAGACCAGCTTGGGCAACTTGGCATGCCCTCATCTCTAAAAAAAAAAAAGTAGCTGGGCATGGTGGCATGCGGAAAGATTGCCTGCGAGCAGCAGGTCGAGGCTGCGGTGGTCGTGAGCATGCCACTGCACTCCAAAAGTAGGTAACATTTGCATAGGGGCCTGAAGGAGGCAATTGTAAGGAGAAATACCTGGGTTGAAAATTTTTCTTGGTAGATTTAACCTTGAAAAAATAAAAATAGGCCAGACGCAGTGACTCACGCCTATAATCCCAGCACTTTGGAAGGCCAAAGTGAGAGGGTTGCCTGAGCCCATGGGTTCGAGACCAGTCTGGGCAACTTGGTGAGACCTCATCTCTACAATAAATAAAAAAATTAACCAGGCATGGTGGCGTGTGCCTGTAGTTCCAGCTACTTGGAAGGCTGAGGCTGAAGGATCACCTGAACCCAGTAGGTCGAGGCTGCGGTGGCCATGAGCATGCCACTGCACTCCAGCCTGGGTGACAGAGTAAGACTCCAACTCAATAAATAAATAAATAAATAAAAGGCAAGAGCTGATGTAATACCTGAAGTGGGAGCACTTCAGCACTCTGTCCTGCCAGAGAAACAGTGAGGAGACCAGTGTGGCTCTAGCAGGGCTACTGAGGGGAAGAGAAGGAAGAGATGAGATCCGAGAGAGCCACCAGGGATTTGATCAGCATGTAGGAACTCAGGCTACTGGGTTTTTATTGTTAGGAAAACTGGGAGCCATTGAAGGGTTTTAGTAGAGAAGTGACATGATCTAATTTATATTTTTAAAGGATCACTCTTGTTCTCAATTGAGGATAGACTGTAGAGAAGTGAAGGTAGAAGAAGGGAGACCACCTGGGAAGCAACTGCAATAATCTAGACAAGACATGGTGGTGGCTTTAACCAGGGTGGAAGCAGTGGTGAGAATAAGAAGTGGTCAGATTCTGGATGTATTTTGGAGCAAACCAACGAGATTTGCTAAAGGGGTGGATATTGATTGTGACAAAAAGAGAAGGTTTTTGGCCACAGTCACTGGGAAGATGGAATTGCCATTTACTGAGACAAAAATCACTGTAAGGAGAAATTTGGGCGAGATACTATGGGGGTGGGGCAAGGAACCAAATCACAGGAAGGATAAAGGCGGGGCTGGCCTCAGATAAATGTGGGGTTTGTCTCTGGTTCTCCCTCTACAGTGTTCTCCTGGCCATGGAAGATGGACAAGCTGATACTCAACTTGAGTTCCCAAGAGAAGAGAAAGTCATTTTATACTCTCCACAAAATAAACAAGAAACTGTAGAGGACTTTTACTGGTCTTACCTTGGATCACGTGCCCTTTCCCAGAGCCAGCCTGCTGTAAGGATGAAGAACTCTAATTGGCCAGGTTTGGGTCATGTGCCTATCCCTAGCAGTCGCTGCACCTCAGGGAGTGGGAAGTGAGGAGCTTCCCCTACGCAATGTGACATTGGGCAGCCCAACATTTGTCCACTATAACCTACAGGATACATCTAGAAGGTGTCCACATGCCCATGTCTGTTGCTATAATGCTAGGCTGAGCTACTATCACCCGGTAACTTGGAACTGCCTCCTTACAGGTCCACCTGTCCCCTTTTGTCCCCCTTGCAAACATTTTCCACAACAGCAGTGATCACCAAACACGAATCCCATCACATCACTCTTTTCCTGTTCTCAGCTTCCCATTCTCGAGGGAAGTGATTCCATCTTCTAAAGAATATCTATCCAGCCCAAATATATATATGATCTTTTATTTTTTTTGAGTAGGAGTCTCACTCCTGTCGCCCAGGCTGGAGTGGACCTGCTGAGCTCCAGCGATCAATCCACTTCAGCCTTTCAAGTAGCCGGAACTACAGGCGCATGCTACCACGCCCTGCTACTTTTTGATTTATTGTAGAGATGAGGTCTCGCCAAACTACCTGGGCTGGTCTCTAACCCACAGGCTCAGACAATCCACTCACCTCAGCCTCCCAAGGCGCAGGATTACAGGCTGAGCCACCGAGCCCGGCTAAAAACCACATTCTTTTTTTTTTTTTTTTTTTTTGAGTTGGAGCCTCACTCTGTCGCCCAGACTGTCGCCCAGCCTCGACGTGCTGGGCTCCGGCGATCCTTCCGCCTCAGCCTTCCGAGTAGCGGGAATTACAGGCGCGCGCTACCACGCCCGGCTGATTTTTTGATTTATTGTAGAGATGAGGTCTCGCTGCCCAGACGGGTCTCGAACCCGCGGGTTCAGGCAATCCACTCACTCAGCCTCCCAAAGGCGCGGGATTACAGGCTGAGCCACCGAGCCCAGCTACAACCACATTCTTTATCAGCTAAGGAGAGTTAGTAAAATGTTTATTAAATACCGATGTCTCAGGGCTTTGGCTATGTGTTATAATTTACAGTCTTTCCAGTGTCTGCTGTATCATTGCATTTAAAAGAAATCTCAGCCGGGCTCAGTGGCTCAGCCCGTAATCCCGCGCCTTGGGAGGCTGAGGTGAGTGGATTGCCTGAGCCCGCGAGTTCGAGACCCACCTGGGCAACTTGGCGAAACCGCATCTCTACAATAAATCAAAAATTAGCCGGATGTGGTAACGCACGCCTATAGTTCCGGCTACTTGGAAGGCCGAGGCGGAAGGATCGCCGGAGCCCAGCAGGTCGAGGCTGCGGTGGCCGGGAGCGGCCACTGCACTCCAGTCTGGGCGACAGAGTGAGACTCCAACTCAAAAAAAGAAGAAGAAGAAGAAATCTTCATTCCCTAACAGGAACTACAAGGCCCTGAATGATGTGTCCCCTGCCTGCTTCTTCAGCTCAATGACTCGAAATCCTTCCCTTTGCTCATTTTGTTTTAGTCCCAATGTCTCCTGTCCCCCGCTTCCCAGTTCCTTCTTTGTCTCTGAGACATAGCCCAAATTATTCTTCCCTCTGCCTGAGGATGGCAGGCTCTTTTTGGCTCTTTTTAGTTAAAAGTCTTCTCATCAAAGAGGCTTTTCCTGACTCCGTATCTAAACAAGAGCCTGTTTAGTAATATTCTTAATCATGACTCTTCATTTTCTATATAGTGCATATCAAAATTTGTCGTCATTTCATTTGTTGAATATTTTACCTCGTGGCAAAGTCACACACCATCTTACAAACAGAGAGACTCTCAACGTGGGCAAGAGACAGAGAACGGAGTGACAAAAGCACAGGAAAGCTACCCATAGGCCGGCTGCGCTGACCACAGTGAGTCACTCTGGGCAGTTCAATGGCTAAGTCTGTCCACTGCGGAAAACAGAATGAACCATTCATTCCCATGTGAGAATTCTGATTTCTTAGCCAACTAGGTGCGGTTCCACCCTGATGGTCCAAGCAGGACATACTATTCCCATCCCCAAAACCTCTCGGGACCCAAGTCCAGTCCCCACTCGGTGTGTTTGCGAATAATCGTGAGCGGACACTTGTAGGCGGAGAGAGCCGGCGCCTCGCCCACGCGACACTCCAGGATTTCAGGACCTCGGTCTTTAAGACCCGCCCCATCGGCTCTCTGCAAGGGCGGGGCGACGAGCGCGGCGGTCCTCTCCTGCTCCCCACCGGCCGGCGCTCCCGTGCGTGCCGCCGTTCAAGAACTGCCCCTTCCGGGACGGCCCGGTCGCCGCGACCAATCACGTCCCTCACCCCGGCCTCGCCGTCGGCAG